ATTTCTATTTCTGCCCAACGGTGATGTAGAATTGGTGTAGGGAACAGTTGTATGTTTTAATTTTAACCAACGTTGAAAATAAGGCATGCAATTGTTATTGTTATTATTTATGTTCTCACAACATTTGAATTGTGTTTTCAGGAGGATACAACTTGATGAGTTGTATCAAAGAGATCCCCACTCTAAAAGGTGATAACTATATTGAGTGAAAGAAAAAGATAGACCTGGCTTTTATCCTCGCTGAGGTGGACTGGGTTGTCACCACACCGTGTTCCAGAGAACCTGTGGCACCGGTGAGGAAGACAGATGAGACTGATGCTGCATGGCAGAACAGAGAGCGGGACTTTGCTCCCGTAAAGATGTCCTATGACCTTAAGTATAGGAAATGGGTCACTGCCAACAAGAAGTGTTTGGCAGTGATAAAGAACACAATTGAACGTGCAATAGTGGGCTCAATTCCAGACTGTAACACGGTCATAGAGTACCTAGAAAGAATAAAGAGTCAGTTTACTGACTCTTCAAAGACATATGCAACCCAGCTGATCAAGCAGCTGGTAACAGAAAGGTACTCTGGTGGCGGCAGTGGCATTAGAGAGCACATACTGAGAATGAGCAATCTAGCATCTAAGCTCAAACCAATGGATTTGACACTCAAGGATGAGTTTCTTATTCATTTGATTTTTATTTCTTTGCCCAAAGAATTTGACACCTTTGTTGTTAATTACAACATACAGCCTGAAAAATGGGATTTAGAAAAGCTCATAGCCATGTGTGTGCAGGAGGAGGAAAGAATAAAAGTTTCACAGAGTGGTACTGTTAACTACCTAAAAGATAAGAAAAAGAACTATAACAACAGCTCTTCCTCCAAGTCATCTGGAAAGGGTCCCATGCAACAGTCTTAGAACAAGCAATTTCCAGTGGATAAAGATCAGTGTCTCTACTATAAGAAGACAGGACATTATAAGAAGAATTGTCCCGATTTCCTAAAGATGATTATGAAAAATAAAGGTGAGAACATTATTACGTTCGTAAATGAATCCTTGTATGTAAAGTTTTCAAAATCTACTTGGTGGATTGATTCAGGTGCAACTATTCATGTTGCTAATTCATTATAGGGATTCCGTTCGATGAGAACTTTGCAAAGAAGCGAAAGTTTCATTAAAGTCGCAAATGGAGTACAAGCAGATGTTGAGGCCGTTGGCGATCTTCCGCTAGAGCTTGCTGATGGCTTCATACTTATTCTGAGAGATGTTCTTTATGTACCTTCTTTGCAAAGAAACTTGATTAGTGTATCAAAGTTGGACTATGATGGTTATGATTGTCATTTTGGAAATGGCAAATATCAGATATTGTTTAATAATAGATGTATTGGTCTTGCCTTCCGACAAGACGAGCTTTATTTGTTATCACTTCGTGAAAATGTGAATTCCGTATGTGATGTGAATGAGAATGTATCCTCATCGAACAATGCAAACAGAAAACGAAAGAGAGCTCACGATGCGTTGTCGAAATTATGGCACTGTCGTTTAGGCCATATTTCGAGGGGGAGAATAGAAAGACTAGTTAAGAATGATATTCTTCCTCCATTAGAGCTCTCAGATTTAGAACAATATAGAGATTGCATAAAAGGAAAGTATGTAAAGAAAATTAAAAAAGATGCCAAACGAAGCGCAGGAATTCTACAGATTATTCACACAGATATCTGTGGTCCTTTTCCTGTGAAAAGTGTGGATGGTTATGATTCATTCATAACTTTCACAGACGATTACTCTCGGTTTGGCTACATTTATCCAATTAAAGAAAAAACAGAAGCGTTGGATAAATTCAAAATATTTAAAGCAGAAGTTGAAAATCAGCATGATTTAAAGATTAAGATAGTCAGGTCTGACCGTGAGGGAGAGTACTACTACGGTCGGCATACCCCATATGGCCAAGTTTCTGGACCTTTTGCAAGGTTCTTACAGGAGACTGGCATAGTAGCCCAGTATTCCACACCGGGCAAACCTCAGCAGAATGGAGTAGCTAAAAGACGTAATCGTACCCTGATGAATATGGTGCATAGTATGATAAGTTACTCCACTTTACCGATGAGTCTGTGGATGGAGGCGTTAAAAACCGCCATTCATATTCTCAATAGAGTACCAAGTAAGTCGGTGCCCAAAACACCGTATGAGTTGTGGACAGGAAGAGTACCCTCACTTAACCACTTGCGTGTGTGGGGGAGCCCTGCTGAGGCTAAAGTTTTTAACCCAAACATTGGGAAGCTAGATCCCAAAACAGTGAGTTGCCATTTCATTGGCTACCCAGAAAAGTCAAAAGGTTTTCGTTTCTACTATCCTAACAGACATACAAAGTTTGTGGAAACGAGACACGCTGTCTTCCTAGAGGATGAAATGATTAGGGGGAGCATGGTAGCTCGAGAAATTGACCTTGAAGAGAAACGGATGTATGCACCCACTCCGATCATTCATGAGCCATTTTTCTCACAACCTACTGTTACTGCACCGACAGTACAAGACACTGTGGTGTCAGCACCTATTGTTATCCCGCCTGTGGCAACAATGAATGATGATGAGAAACCTGTTCCTTAGGATCCTATAGAAACTATTGCCACACATGAGAGGGAGCAACAACAGCCTCAAACAGAAAATGTGCCAAATGAGGAGGCCCCTAGAAGGTCTCAAAGAGTTAGAAAATCAGCTATTCTTACTGATTATGAAGTGTACAACACTGAAGAATTTCAAATGGAGGATGATCCCACCTCATTTGAAGAAGCCATGAAAAGTGATCATTCATCAAATTGGCTTGAGGCCATGGAAGATGAGATGAGATCAATGAATGCAAATAAAGTTTGGGATTTGGAGATAATTCCTAAAGGAGCCAAAACAGCAGGCTGTAAATGGGTCTATAAAACAAAACTTGACTCTAAAGGGAATATAGAGAGATATAAAGCCCGACTTGTGGCAAAAGGCTTTACACAAAGAGAAGAGATTGATTACAATGAGACCTTTTCTTCAGTCTCATGTAAGGACTCTTTCAAAATCATAATGGCATTAGTGGCACGTTACGATTTAGAATTACATCAGATGGATGTAAAGACGTCATTTCTCAACGGAGACTTAGAAGAAAATGTTTACATGGCACAACCGAAAGGTTTTGTCATGGAAGGAAAAGAACGTTTGGGATGCCGTCTAAAGAAATCCATTTATGGATTAAAACAAGCTTCAAGACAGTGGTACTTGAAGTTTGATCAGACAATAAAGAATTTTGGGTTTAAAGATAATGTTGAGGACAATTGTGTCTACGCAAAGTTTAAGAATGGGAAGTTTATCTTCCTTATCCTGTATGTGGATGATATCTTACTTGCTAGTAGTGATGTCAGTCTACTACTGGAGACAAAGAAGTTTTTGTCCTCAAAATTTGATATGAAAGATCTTGGTGAAGCTTCGTTCGTTCTAGGGATCGAGATTCACCGAGATAGAAGTAAAGGGGTATTAGGACTGTCACAAAAGGCATACATAGAAAAAGTCTTAAAGAAATTCAGTATGCACAAATATAGTCCCTCACCTGCTCCTATAGTCAAGGGCGACAGATATGGGGATTTTCAATGCCCCAGGAACCAATATGAGATCGATCAAATGAAAGTGGTTCCATATGCTTCAGCTGTCGAAAGCTTGCAATATGCTCAAGTATGCACGCGCCCTGACTTGGCATTTGTTACCGGGTTACTTGGCAGATTCCAAAGCAATCCTGGAATAGAACACTGGAAATTGGTAAAGAAAGTCTTGCGTTATTTGCAAGGAACGAAAGGCCTCATGATGACGTATAGAAGATCTGATTCACTCTATATAGTGGGATATTCAGATTCTGATTATGCGGGAGATAATAGAAAATCCACGTCTGGATATGTGTTTACTCTCGCAGGGGGAGCTATTTCATGGAAAAGCTCAAAGCAAACCGTCACTACATCGTCCACAATATATGCCGAGTTTGTAGCATGTTATGAGGCAACGGAGCAGGTGAACTGGCTAAAGAAGTTCATACCCGGTTTGAAGGTGGTTGACGACATCAATAGACCACTGAAGTTATACTACGATAATAATCCGGCAGTACAGTATGCTCACAACAATAGGTCAAGTGGTGCTGCCAAACACATTGACATAAAGTATTATGTTGTGAAGGATAAAGTCCGGGATCAAATGATAAGTCTTGAGCATATAAGTACCGAAAAGATGCTCACGGATCCGCTTACAAAAGGCTTACCACCCAACGTGTTCAGAGAACATGTAGCCGGCATGGGTTTAAGGGAAAGCATATGATTCCTGGACTATAAAGGGCCCAAAAGTTAAAGTAACTATTTCAGATCAGAGACGTGCATTGTAGCTGTTAAATCTATCGGCGATTGACCGTGACGATGAAACATGCTCTATGCATCATCTGTGAAGAAATGAGTAAGGATAAAAGGATTAAAGTTTAAAGTTTAAAGATAAAAATAATAGTGTGAGATTAAGGGGGAGAATGTTAGAGTGATCTCCCAACCAATAAGCTCAACGGCCTATTGGGCCTTGGTCACGCGCCCTGATCGGGGGCGCCCAACCCTACATGGTTGGTGGGCCCCCGTCGCACTGCGCTATATATAGAGATGGGAGCCGACGGCTCGAGGTACGAGGTTCATCGTGAGCCGCAAACCCCACCTACAAACCCTAGACCGATCTAAGAGGGCACGCAGCCAGCGACGGGAAGCTCCGCTGACTTCGCCGTCGTCACTGCTACGCCGTTCGTCTGCACTGCATCGATGTCCGTGCAACCTCTACTCCACCCATCGCTGCCCGTGTGCTGCCTCCATCACCGAAGCTGAGATGGCCAGCTCAACCGCGACTTCCTCCGAGGGCTCAGGTTCAACACCAGCACCCTTACCCTATCTCCCTCTCGGTGTAGTGTTCTAGGTTTAGATATGCATGTGCTATTACGAATCCAAGTGTCATCCGCCTAGATCTACCCTAGTTGATCCACCACGTAAACACGAGCGAGTCCTCGCCGGCGCCGAGGATGTTACTGATGGTGCGCCGCTCCACGCCCTGCTTCCAGTCCAGGACCTTGACCCCTTCGTCCTTGGTGCCGCACCCGGACATCCGGTTACGCCAGTCGGAGATCCGGCGCGTGAAGTCGGCCACGGTGTGGCCCTGGTACGGCGGGACCGGCTCGTCGGCGCGCTGGTACAGCAGCAGCCGGATCACCGTGTCCTGCCCGGCCTCCACCGCCAGGATGCTGGCCTGGAGGCGCTTGGAGGCGTAGCCCATGAGGCTGGGGCCGATGCCCATGGCGGCGGCGGCGGTGACGTGCGGGAACACGTAGGAGGCGAGGAGGAAGTTGACGGGGCTGACGTACGCGTCGAACGACGGGTCGAGGCGGACGCCCATGGCGTCGTCCATGACCATGGCGAAGCGGTCGGGGGCGAGGTCGATGGGCGGGCGCGGGAACCCGCCCACGGCCTGCCTGATGGCGCGGATGTGGCCCACCTCCTGGTACCCGAGCTCGGCGGCCACCTCGGTGGTGCGGAAGTCGAGGTCGGCTTTCCTGGCCCCCGACGGCCGTGGCCCGCCGCCGGACAGGTTGCGGTCCAGGAAGTCCAAGCCACGGCCCAGCGCCGCGTGCAGGAACCACTCCGCCTCCACGAACTTGGCGTTCAGCAGGAACTGCAGCTGCTCCATGTCGCTCGGGTACACCGCCAGCGCGCCCTGCCGCGGCGCCGTCGCCCGGCACCGTGGGGGCGGCGGCTGCCGGAACGCTCGGAGGCACCACGGTGCCCTGAGCTACCACGGCGAGAAGCAGGAGTGCGCCCGCTGCGACGAGGAGATGGAGTGCGGCGTCACGCGCGAGCGCCATGGCTGCCTGCTTTGGCTTGCTGCATGCTGGTGCTGGGCTGGTTGGGCGATCGACGGAGGCCGGCCCGGGAGAGTGGATCATTTGTAGTGTGGGCCTGTCACCTGTGAGGTGACAGTTAATTTTAGTTAGTGTGGGTTTAGGAGGGGAGTGGGGGTAGATTGCGTTTTGGCAGGCCATGAAATGCTTGTGTGGAGATTGTTTGGTTGAATCACATACGAAAATTTCATCATATCGATCTTTCGACAAAAAAAAAAACAAATCTTATACAGAGTAACAGAGTGGTGTTTAGTTGAAAACTTGCAACCATGCAGCATGCACTAGACCATTTTCGTTTGTTGCAGCAACTTCCCACCGACGGGATTTTTTTTTCTTCTTTTACTTTTTTTTCCCTGTTAGAACTTGCAGTGTAAATCGCGTTAATTCCCTTGGTGTGACTTGGGAGGATTTTATGCTTATACACTTTTGGGCACTGGTGTGACGTGTCATTGCGTCGTCAAAAAATGGTGCAAGTGCTAGTTCTCTATACCAGGCCTTGTCTTTTTTTTGCAAACCTTTCCTGATCCTATTTCGTAGAAACTCGTTTTGAAAATTACATGCTACTTCCACTGTTTATAAAAAAATATAATTCTAGCACAGTACCATATTAAAGTAACTTAAGCTTAACTAATTATACATGAAAATATATTAATATTTATAATATTAAATAAGTATATTAGATTTGTATTCAGATACGGTTTCGTATTATTATATTTATTATGGGTCATAAGCATTAATATTTTTATCTATATATTTGGTCAAACTTTAGTCATGATAACAAAAAATGCACCTTAGAATTGCATTCTTTCTTGAACAGAGATTTAATTATTCAAAGTGATCCAAACGAGTAGAGAGCAACTTTTTATTTCTCTAAAAATTTTCAATAATTGGCTGCTAAAAGAAATCAAAACTAGGGAGGAATTGCATGTTACTGAGAGAAACCATGGAGAAACTAGTGGATAAAAGAGCGCCTAACGACGCTGATATGTGCAAAGTCACATGAGACTGAAGATTTACTAAAAGCGTCTCCAAGAGTCTTTTCTAAACTTAATTCTTGTAAATCCTTATATAGAGTACATTCTAACAAAGAATCCTCTATAAATATTTATCTTCTTCAACATTTACCCTACCACAAAATAATATATAGGGTGGACAACATGACATTTCAAATTTGAAAGAGAGAGAGAGAGAGAGAGAGAGAGGGGGGGGGGATAATTTAAGATAGCATTAAACATAGGATGTTGAATAGGGGGGCTGTTGGAGGGGGGTTGTTTTTTTTATTACACAAACCATAATTTTAGCTTAGGGAGATGAACAGAAAAACTCTTGGAAATACTCTAAGCATGAATGTTTAGAGTGGTCAAAAGGGCTTTCACTGATGTACTCGAACGATATCAAGTTGGATGGTGGAGTGAAGAAAGGGAGGCAACGAAGGGGCTTGGGCTAAAGCGCTAACCAAGTCTCCTGCGGATGACGAGGCCGTTTCTTGGAGAAATACATATTAATGTTTATATGAATCTTGATTCCCTTCAATTCAACGTTACTCCCTTTGCTTATTGTATTTGATCTCATCTTTGTGTAAATTTTGGTCCAATTACCTTCTTGATCTTTTTTTTAAACGAATTGCAATGAATAGCTGACTTAGCAATTGGGGGCAGTCAGTGACTTGGACAAATGGACAGGACGTTTTCTTCAATAGTGTTTCGGGGGTGGGGTGGGGTGTGTGTGTGGGTGGGGGTGGAAATCTCGTGAAGAGCAACAATGCCCCTCAACAGCACTGGGCCTAAATCCATTGCTGACCCAATCCATTTGGAGTCGTCGCTGCCGTGCATACCAAGTCAAGTTTGGGCCTTTACCTGTTGGACCCATCATCGAAGGCATCAGCATCAGCATCCATCCACCACGCCTCCGCCGCCGCCGTCGCTCCGGAGCCCGGACTCACCGCTAGGTTCTTCCTCCTCCTGCCGCCGCCGCCGCCTCCCAGACCGTTTCCTCCTCCGCCGCAGCCGCGATGCCGACGGTGAGCGTCGGCCGGGACCGTCTCTTCGCCGCCCTGGGTCGGACCTACAGTAAGTTCGACGTCCTTTGCTCAGTTCCTCCCCCAACACCCCAGCTCTCCCCCATCCGCGACAACTCGTAACCAATCCTACTCTCTGCAGCGCAGGAGGAGTTCGAGGCGCTCTGCTTCGAGTTCGGCATCGAGCTGGACGACGTGGTGAGCATATCTCTCCGCCATTGCCCTCCCTCCCCCTCCCGTCCGCTGTGCTGGTGGGAGTGGCGTTGTCTGATTTTTGAGGGTTTTGGGGGTGCGTGTGCAGACGACGGAGAAGGCTATTATCAGGAAGGAGAAGCACCTCGAGGACGACGGCGAGGTGGACGACGATGACGAGGTCATCTACAAGATAGAGGTCGCCGCCAACAGGTCAGCCGATTTTGTTTTTCGTCAATTGAATCGATGGTGTACTGTGTATCCAGGATTATGGTAACCGAACATAAATATCGGCCAATTACACCATTCTTGTGTACCAATTGAACATGTGTAATGCAATTTGAGACACCTAAAAATCAGCTAAGAATCTGTAGCAGACAAGCTACGTTACTCTAGTGTTGGCAATAGTACCCTCCTGCGATGATTTTAAAATTTTGCCTTTTGGATATTATTGGTTGTTGTAGTCTGTATAGTGATACATAGGTAATGGTTCCATTGTGGTTCGTGCCCTCCCTGTTCCCTACTGCTCTTCTGTGATCGGTGTATTTGAATGTAAGCATCAAATATACTACACAAGTTTACATAAATGCACAAAAGCAAGTCATAGAAAACAGGTGCAAAAACTGTTTTTGCCGTGTTTGGCTTTAAGCAAACATCATGAGTTATCTATTTGGTAGCTAATTTTTGCTGCACTGTTGGTCTGTTCTTTTAGTTCAAGTTGTTTGGTTCATGGGGATTTTAGTAAGCGGGAAGTTTTATCGATGTAGTGAGCTAAATATGAACCAATTTTTGTTTTGCTCTGTCTCTGCTGATTCGTTATTTCCTTGAGTTTGAAATCTAGTCCAATAAGCTTAATGTTGTATAAGGACCTGCACATAGTATAAAGTTGAGTTGAATTTGGACTTAAAATATTTGAACTTCAGTAAAGCACATTGCATTCAGCATGCCAGTTTGCATGGATGGAATTTCCATCTACACAGAGAGTCTCTTGTCTGGCTTTTTCTACCAGTCACCTCATTATTCACTGATCTTTGACTTCCTGAACCGTTACCTTGTATTGGTGGACGAGCTCTTAGTTTCAAAGCACATGTTGAGATCTCATGCTTGATGTGTTTAATGCTCATTGCCAATGTATGCAGATATGATTTGCTATGTCTTGAAGGATTAGCAAGAGCTCTTCGTGTTTTCACGGGGACTGAAGCAAGCCCTGTATTCCAAGTTTCATCCATTCCTCGTGGTTCAATTCTTCAGATGCATGTTAAACCAGAGGTAGGTTCATGTTCTTTGGACTTGCAGTGCATTTCAAATAATGTCCTAGAAGAAAAACTAGATTTCTTCAGTTTTCCATTTCTAAGTAGTGCATTATGGGTAGGCTGTAGAGAAAATTGTACAGCAGCACTGTTTGGTGTATGATGTAACCTGGCAATGCTCTTGAATCTTGATCCAGTTCTTTTTTGGATATGGAATGCTATGTCTCAGGAGTAATGGAGAAATGATGTGTGAAACTGCCATTTTTAAGGAAGAAAAGAAGCAATACCCTACTTGCATTTTCCATGCCATTACATATGTATACATTTTTTTGGTGCATGCTCTTTGCAATGTTATATTATTGCCCTGAAAATGATTATAGCTTGAAGCTGGCACAAAAATGTCAAGACATTAACATGTTCATGATTTTGATATTTGCCTATTATTACTAATTCTAGAATCTATGTATTAACGGATTATGTTGTATTTGCTAATGTTGACGCTGATCGTATTCTCCAGAATGGTATTATTTATGTCCTTATTTCTTCCAATGTAAGCGTTGATTTTGCTGTTTTTTTTCAGACTTCAAAAATTAGACCATATGTAGTTTGTGCTGTCCTAAGAGGGGTAACTTTTGATGAAGCAAGATATAACAGCTTCATTGATCTTCAAGACAAACTCCACCAAAATATCTGCCGGTATAGCTTATCTTATTGCCTTTTGCTTTTCATTGTATTGATATCAATTATCAAGATTGTACTCAATACAATGATTAATGAACTCAGACTACTCCATGATGGATAACAGGAAGAGAACTCTCGTTGCTATTGGTACCCATGATCTGGACACTCTGCAAGGACCCTTCTCATATGAGGTAAAATTATCACAGTGCTGCAATAAGCTAATTTTGTAGCTCAATCTTGGGTAATGGGTATTATCTTATTCGCCCTGCGTTCATGGCAATCTCTGTCGTGGACTTGCATATTGTTCCTATGTTTATGTGTTCCATGGTATTTTTGTGCATCCAATTTTCCCCTCTTGATGGGGCAAATGATTGTCTCATGATATGTGCTTGTGGCCTTGCACTATCAATGGGACTAACTGCAATTACTTTTATACCATTGTATGGAAAGATAAATGCAAGGACATGTTGGTGCCTGTTTGGTTGATTTTATTCTTTCTCCATTGAGGTGTAGAAGCTCCCTTCCACTGGTTTTGAATCTTATTTTTGCGAAATTTGAGTTTGTCTAATTCATTTGGCAGATTAAACTTCGCCAAGTGTGTTGCCTTCTTGGGGGAATTTTAGAGTAAATTTTGGACTGTAATGTGTTCTATGGTCTTAGTTGCAGAAAAGAGCCATCCTTTTTTCACCAGTCACAGTTAACATGATACCTTATGGTCATAAGGTCTCTCAAATGCCTAAATCAATCAAATCTTTTTTTGTTTTGCTGCCTTTTTTTTAAGGAAATAAAGCAGGGGAGGCTCCTACTGCAAATTTTATTAAAATAACAGAGGCATAAATATATACTGAACAAAAGGACGAAGCTAAAAGAGAGAACAAATGGAGAAGGGGACTAAACAAGCTCCTCTCAGGAGAGGACAGGGAAGAAAGTTAGGAAAGTGACTGGATCCAGTTTTGTAACATAAGCCAGTTGTTGCCATTTAGTCTATGAGGTTGTAATCTTGCTTCATCTACGAAGTCCTTGTTTTGCTGCCTTGTTGGGGCAGATTGCTCATCGGGGAGTGGATCATCAGTGAGATAGTGCCCCACTGAATTTGTCTACAGTGGGGCTTCAGGAAGCATTTATGGCCATAAAATCTGAGTTTTAGTGCCACTAGCCAAAAACATGTATTTTCCTCGAATTTTAATCAAAAGTCGGCTTCAAGCCCTTTTTGTATGGGTAATAGAAAACTCATCTTGGCCAGCTTACCAAGAAGGCAATTCGGAGGAAGTTTAAGCACTATACTCCCTATGCTTTCGAGTTTATATTTGTTCAGAATGCATGACAGCATATATACATGAAAGTATTAACTAGTTTTTCACATAAAAATGATAAGAAATTGTTATTTTAATAACCTTTTGACTAGGAAGAGTAATAACCATTGGTGTATACTGCAGTCTGAATATCCAAATCAACTATTATAAGGAAACTATTATTTAGCTTCTAGCATGGAGGAACCTTAAACAGTTTTAACTTAAGATTTGCGGGTTTGTAACTAGCTTACAGCTGAATAATTTGTTTACGCTGGTCAATATTTTTGGCGGAGAAGAGAAGATAGATTTCTTAGGAATTGGTTGACTGTTATATTTCGTACCATGCATATATGAACAAGCCTCTTAAATATAACAGTTTTTGTTGTTAACCAAAGATATAACCATTGCTGACATGTGGCTATATAAATACCACTGGTGGTTTCTCTCATCCTTTAAATCTGACATTTGATTTTTTTTTTCTCTCCCTAGGCTCTACCACCACATGAAATCAACTTTGTCCCATTAAAGCAGGTAAAAGTAATTGATTTAGTTCGATCAGATGATTTTTATGTTATATCACTCGTTGTTTTCTGATCATCATTACAATTTTTGGACTCACTGTTCTAACTTTTGTATGATTCAGGAGAAAAGCTTCAGAGCTGATAAACTGATGGAATTCTATAAAGTAAGTAGTTACATCAGAGTGTTTGTTGTGTCATTGTGCACTAAATTGGGCCATGTATCAGGATGGAAACTGTTATTTTTTCAAGTTTTACGCTTAGTATCATAGGTTCTAGATCTTAATACTATTCTTATAGGTGCTCTGTGCTTTGTATATTTTTTATTACTGACATCTCTTGCTTTGTGGCAGTCAGACATGAAACTGAAGAAGTTCTTGCATATAATTGAGAATTCAACAGTGTACCCAGTTATCTATGATAGCAACAGGTAAAACAATGACATGCTCTTACCATTTCATTTGTTGATCTCTTTCTTTCAAGGCCTATGATCTTTTCGAAAAAGAGTAATAATTTCTAGAGAGGACAACAATAATTAAATCGAAAGATTCTGTTGGCACAGCTCTCTCAAAATTTGTCTATCTAGTTAAACTTCAAAAAACATTGTTAATGTTTCAAGGAAAAGCTGTTCTCTTAAATATATTCATTTTACTGATAAAAGTGCCCCATGTTCCGTCATGAGTGCGATGCTTAACCTTTATGATATTGAAACTGTTAATACTGGTGTAGCTGCACAGCTGACATTGCAATACTTTGCAGGACTGTATTATCATTACCTCCTATCATCAATGGTGCGCATTCAGCTATCACCCTTGCAACAAGGAATGTCTTTATTGAATGTACAGCTACTGACCTTACCAAAGCAAATATAGTGCTGAATACAATGGTGGGTGATGCTATGCTGTATTTTAGATGGGAACATGTCCTCTAGTTTAAGCAGTTTAAACTTATTGTATTGATGTGCTTGTTACTTATATTTCTAGGTTACCATGTTCTCTGAGTATTGTGAGACTAAATTTGAAGTGGAACCTGTTGAAGTGGTACATCATGATGGCAGGAAAACAGTTTACCCTGATCTTTCATGTTACAAAATGGATGTTTCATTATCTGACATTCTTGGGCCTATTGGCATCTCCCAGGACGAGAAACATGTATCTGCAAGTTCCTGAAAGTTTTAGCAAGGATGTTTTCAACCTGGATTAATAACTGTGCATCTGGAACTGTAGGTTGTCTGTCTTTTGAATAAAATGCAACTGCAAGCTGAAAGTTACTCATTGAAGGGGGAGCCTCGCATTTCAGTGTCTGTTCCTCCAACAAGAAGTGATATTCTGCATGCCCGTGATTTGTCGGAGGTATATCTGCTATTATCTAGCTGTTTCAACTATTTTTGTAGGTATTTGTTTGCTGTCATTGTTAACTGGTTTAATTTCTGTTTGGCTTTTACAAAGGACGTTGCTATAGCTTATGGATTCAACAATGTGCCAAAATCAAAGCCGAAGTGTATGACAATAGGAGGAAGGCAACCATTAAACAGGTTCTCAGATAAAATTCGTGCCGAGGTACTTTAGGTATTCGATGTCTGTGGCATCTTGCTGATATTTGATGTCTTTGTGTTTCTTTTTCTTGTGTTTTTATCTGTTCATCAGTTGATCTTTACTGAAAAATCTTTTGTGGCCAGGTTGCAAGAGCTGGTTATATGGAGGTGCTCACATTTATCTTGTCTTCACACGAAGAAAACTTTGACATGTTAAACAGAACAGATGATAAAAGTAAAGCAGTCATTATCGCAAACCCTCGCACTTCTGAATTCGAGGTAAATTTTCCCCGATTTTATTGTCACCCACCCCGGTGCTGGGCTCAGCCATCAGCCCGCTCTCCTATGTGCTCTCAATTGACTATAGTGCAGAGAATAGTGTAAATTTTTGGTTGATTAGTGCCTTTCTTGCAAAACCAAAAAAAAGTTAATTCATAAACTAATTGCAGGATAATCATCTTTGCTGCGTTTATTTACTGATGCATCTGGCTGGTGTATCATGATTCTGTGGTTTCTGTTATTCTATGACTTCTAGGTGTAATTAGCCGTACATTCTTGTAATCCTATCTTTTTAACTTTTGACTGTTCATCCTTATCTGACTTCAGCCTTGTCTTTCATTTTAGTTCTGCATGTTCTACACAGGCAACTAGGGACGGGCATAATTAACCAAACCTGACAAACAGTACCGAACTAACCCAGACCGAACCCGAAATGACAGAAACTGATTTTTTTGGGTCTCTAATTCGGCCTCAAGAACTAACTAAATGAATTAAGTCCCTGGTTTATTCGGTCTTAACCCGGTAACTGAAGAACCTGGAAAAAACAGCACTGCACATAGAAGCTGAGTAATACATTCGGCCTAGCCCAATAACCCTTCCTAAGAGATATCTCACTCTGCTTCCTCACCACCTTCCCCCAATCGTCCACTTCCTCCTGGTCACCCACAACACCCCACCTGTCTTCTCTAGCATCGTGGCACATAGCGACGAGTCAGAGGCGCCAACACGGCTACGCCCCCCTCCTCCTGACTCGACCACTCGGTAGTGCCTCAACGGGTCTGCCTTCTCCTGCCTGTGGCCTGCGCTTTCTGTCACATATGTACAGCTGTTGGTAGGCGGCTGATCAGGGAGATGAGGTTGCCCTCCGAGCTGCAGCGACAGTTGGCGACCTCCTCCCCAGTCCCCGAGGACCAAGCCAGTGATCATGTCTAGCTGCCACTGGCCGAGGCAGCCACCCGATGTCAAACCTAGCTGACGGCAACGGCTCCTCCCTGCTGTTGGCAGATGATTTATGCTTCATCCTTTGTTGATCTGTGTTTCATCATGCTCATTTGTGTTCACTTACAAAATCTACCATTATATTACCTAGGTGATTTTGTGATTTCTTTTCGAAGTGTGTATTGCTAGCTTGATTAGTTCAGTCATGGCCGAGACCGAACCGAACCGAACGAACTGAGACTAAATTTGCTTCATCTTGATAATTTTTAGGAACCAATCAGTACCCAGTTTTTGATACCTGAAATTTGAGGAAAACCGATGAACCGAACCAATTGATTTGGTCTGACCGAATGTCCACCTACTTATAACTCATGTTTTCTCTCCATATTTGATTGCCAAGGAAATAAGCATTGTTCTACAATGCCATTCATTTGCTATAATCATTCTTTTACTTGTTATCTTGTTGGTTTGTTATAATCAGTTTTTTCCTTGTTACCTTGCAGGTTGTTAGAACTAGTCTGATGTCGTGTTTATTGAAAACACTGAAACATAATATAGACCATCCAAGACCTATAAAGGTACTTTTTGAAAAGAGTCGATATTTATATTTGCTATATAAGTGATAAGGATATTGTCTATGGAATGTTGTGTCACACATAAAATGCCAACTAACTAAAGAAGAAACCAGAAAAAAAACTTTAAATTTCTCTTGCTGTCAGTAGTGTCATTTTGCCTGTTGTTTTTCTTTCCCTTCCAACTTAATTGTGATTGCATGATAATACTCCTTCAAATACTACATTTCAACCATAGTATAACTGTATAAGCCCATTTAGGATTTCTTGATCAAACCTTTTAAACATAGACAATGAATATCTAAAAAATCAAGTAGATTGGTAACATAAGTTTGATGTTGCTAGATTAGTTATAAAAAATACTTTTTATAATATATAGCTCTTTCTATTTGGAGCAACATGTTATTCAGAATATTACCTGTCAAAGTGTCATTGGAGACCATGTATCAATGTTCTAATGGATTTTGGGATTAGAGAAAGTAACATTCTAGTCCATTTTTACCAATGTCGACTTTAATTTATCAATTTCAAATGGAAGAGCTTTAATACAGCTTCTAGTGTTGGATATGCCTAATCAGTTACTGTTGCCATGGTTATGATCTTCCTTCTAGATGGAAATGTTCCCATGATTTTGATCTTTCAAATATTTACCATTGTAGATTTTTGAAGTTGGTGATGTTGTGATGCTGGACTCGTCACGTGATGTTGGTGCCTCTAATAATCGCAGGCTTGCAGCTTTGTACTGCAATAGGGTTTCTGGATTTGAGGTATACGCTTAAGGAAAAAAACATCTGTATAGGCATGTATTTACATAGCTTCTATGTAGGCCTATGCTAACTTGATTAAATTGTCCAGGAAATTATGGGATTGGTCGATAGTATTGTCAAAGTTGTCAGAGCTCCGCATGTCAACTTTGGCGAGAATTACTATGTACCTACAGATGTAAGCGTAACTTCATAAATTGCCTTGTATTTTGCTGTTGTCAACATTTATATACTGATTTCATTTCTTTAGGAACCTGAGTTCTTCCCGAAAAGACAATGTAAAATTGTTACAAGTGATGGCAAGCAAGTTGGCTACTTAGGAATTGTCCATGCTGAGGTACTTTCTCTGCCTCGCTTTTGAATGATGTTATAACCTGTGCTGCTTAAGTACCAGTAGTTTAGCTGCCATATGAATGAAGATTTCTGAGGATGAAATGAATAAAGATAGCACCATATTATATATTTCTTTTTGTTAGGTAGCACAATCTTATGCGCTTGAATTATGAGCTACTCCAATTCCATAATTGATCTATACTGAGAGTAAGAGATGTACTGAGCAGAAATAAGAACTTAGGAACACAAATGATATTATCTGAGAATAAGAAAATCATAACATGGATACACATTGTGATTTATTTTGCCAAATTTAATGGCACTATTCCTTGAGTGCTAGTCATACTCTGGGTTTCTTGCAGGTGCTAAGGAAATTTGGCATTCCGGATCCCTGCACTTTCGTTGAGATGGACCTTGAAGCACTGTTGTAATTGCCGTCAATCTGAAACAAAGGAATGCTTGAATCTGATACCTGCCACATATTGGTTTTGTTCAGTAAACATGGATGTAGTACCAGCAAGAAGTGCATATTACCCAAGCTGGAATATCACAATGTACTTCTCAATTGCATTGGATTTTGCTACGGGAAATACCCTGCCTAATTTTTGTGTTAGGGACTATTTTCACTATGTATCCATTGTAAGAGCCCATTCCTGTCGAACATTCTATCAAAAGTGTACCTTATATCCTTTTGTAAACCATCGGATGTCCAAAAGTTATTTCTGCAACTCTTTGCACCTCTACACATGAGATCACCATGATGTAAAGCAGCCTCAGAATATTAGACTTGTATCTCCTGGTTTCAACACATTGGATAAGGTTCCCGTAAAAACCTTCTCTTTGTGATTGTGAATGATAGTAAAGTTTGTCATTGTGTGTTTACATTGCAACTCTTCATGAATTCCTGAGTGGTGATACTTTTTGTCGCCCCCCAGAGTCTGTCGAGTGAGAAATGGGACACGTTTGTCCAGTATTTATCTTAGAACTTAATGGTGCTAATAACTCACTAAATAGGATGTTAGTATGACAGCGATAGTTTATCCGAATGTAAGCATGACAGCTATGGTTTATCCTAGCCCTAGGAGGTTCCAAAATTCTATCGTTGCTGTGGTCAAACAGCCAAACCACCACTAAAGGCAAATCTAAAATTTGAAAGCAAGAATCTCATTTACATGTTAAAACTTGAGCTTAATACAATCTCGAATCTGTCATCTTTCCTATTTTAACTGGGGAACGTCAAATATTAGAAGTTTTGATGATAGTCTACTCTCCCTTCTAAAGTCAATTTTGTTTTATTCGATTCGATGGCAAACTTTTTTTCCCCCTAACTTTGACAAAGTTTTATGGAAAATTCCCGTGCAAATGTCTATTTCCTTTCCAAATGAAAAGTTCCCCACCATAGTTCCTCCAATTGGCTGGGTGGCTAACTTGGCTTGGAGCAGGAGGAGAGCAGCGTCTCCGTTGGTCCTAGTCGCCTCCAACTCCAGAAGCTCCCTCTCACTCCAGAGCCCAGTCACCTGGCATGGAAGCATAGTTTAAAGGGCCTCCTCCGACACGTGTCACCTTCCCGCCACACGTGTCCACACGCGAGCAAGCCTCGCACGTATTTAGAACGCGTCTTGCGACGATCCTCCGGGCGGCCTCTCCCGTCTGAGAGATCGGCTTCGACTCGATCATCGCGCCACCAAGCAACCTCGATCACCACTCTCACCGGGATCGTATCAGCCATGGCGGCCGCCGCGCACGAAGTAGGCATCACCCACCGCGTGGCCACCAGCAGGGACGACGGCGGCGGCGCCAGCGACAGCGCGGCAGTCTCGGGTCCCAACAAGAAGGCGGGCGGTGGCGCCAGCAGGCGCGGGCTCCGCTCGCTGGCCGCCGCGGTGTCCCTCTCCGCGGCGCTGACGGTGCTGTCCTTCTTCGCCGCGAGCCACTCCTCGCCGTCGCCCAAGGCTGCCACGGCATCGACGGTGGCGGTGGTGCGGGCGGGGTCGGTGGCGGTGCTGGCGCTGTCGCCTGGCGGTGTGGATGGCGTGGGCGGAGGGCGGGGTGCACGCGCGCCCGGCCGCCATGCTGCTCCCCTACGCCGCGCAGCTGGGCGCCGCTCGTGCTGGGCCATGGCGCGACGCGCGCCGGCCTCGCCTGCTGCGCCGCCATGGCCGCGGCCGCCGTGGCGTGCGCGCGCGGGTTCGGCGCCGTGAACCCTGTCGCTGGCGACCTCGCTAAGCCCGCCGTCGCCTGGGCCGTCATCCTCGCCGTCGTCAACTACAAGATGCTCTGAGCTCTCGAGTGTCGACAACCCGCGCGCGTCGTTCGTGCATGTTCATGTTCATGTTCGATCCATCTTGTGCAGCAGGCATTACGTCTGCATACTGTATGACGCTTTCTAGCTACTTGCTTTACTACACGTCTACACATGTACTCTTCTTGCCGTGTGTTAACATTACATATCCTCTGTTCCTTGGTTTACTACTCTTGTGTGCATTTCGATTGTGATGTGTGTGTATATAAATATATTTGGAAGAGATGGATGTATGCTGCTGACAAACCATTCGATCAGCGCAAGAATACAGCAAGGACTGGAATCGCATCAGGTTGAAACAGCGTCTCTTTATCGACAGAATCAGAGGGGGGGAGACACAGAGGCGATGGATCAGAGCAAATGGCAGCAGGCACACTGCAGAAACAGAACAGAGCCCGAGCTCCAGTGCATGAGCATCGCCACACCAGAATGCAATGCGTATCAGCGCACCAAAGCACGAATACAATGATAGTATGATGCAAAACCCCAGTTCATCTTAGTTTTCGTGATCACACTGATCCACATGTACCCGAACCTTTTAGACTTTGGTCGTCAGCTATTTAGATTTATATCCCTTCCGTCTCGGAATACAAGACATGAGCATATTTCAAAATTCAAACTTTGTTATCTTTGACCAATAATTAGTCTAATAATATAAAAAATTATAGTATAATAGTAGTAACATGAGATTTGTCTTTATAAATACTTTTTTATGATATTTTTGTTGTTACCATAAATTATATATAATAGTATAAATTAACAGTTAAAGTATGATATTGAAAACTGCACTAAGTCAAATCGCGTCTTGTATCTTGAGACGGAGAGAGTATTTTCATTGTCGACATCTTTTTGCAGTATTTAAGCCAGGGACGCCAACAAACACATTTGAGGTATATATGTTCTTTTCGTTTGCTTGGTCCATCGAAACCAGAAAACCTCGTACTTATCTATCTCCATCCAATATGTAAATGGTAATGCTCTCCTTAGTGTGTTCGTTGGTCCGAACGCTTTTGGCCTTATGTTTGCTCCCCTCTCTCACGCTCCCTCTCCCTCTTTGATTGTTGGTCACGCGCATGGACAGGGCTGGTCGAGCCTGGAGCTCCCCATCGCCGTTGCTGCCTTCCTTCTGGGCCTCTCGCACCCTACTCCTAGCTCCCACAACACAACGCTCAGGCTCATAGTCCCCCCCTATGCATGCTCGCCGAGCAAATCCCACTACCGTCCTCTTTTTCCTACTCGTCACGGCCACAGGACAAGAACTATGGTGAGCCGTCTCCGGTGGCCCTCCACCTAGCCAGCCACGCTACCTTCGCATCCGCCTCGCCTCCCTCCATCTCCTGCACGCGTTCACCAGGGTGGATATCCGTCGGCACATCGCTGACGCTGGTGCCGCCTCTGGCATACTGCTGGTATGCACGGCCAGCCCTACATGCGTCGATGAGCCTCCATTCGTCCAAGCAACAAGTAGATGTTGCACTTGAAAGAGAATGTTGCAAGTATATATTTCAAGTGTTTCAGATGTTTCAGTGTTGCAAGTGTTTCATAAAGATGTTGCAAAGGTAGATCATGATGTTTCTTATGTTGCAATGGCTGTACACATATGTTGTAAGCGTCTGTTCCAAATGTTTCATCTATTTTTCAAACCTATGTTGCAAGTGTGTTTATCTGGATGTTGCATATATTTTTCAATGGCTTTTCAAGTATTTTTAGATGTTTTTGCAAGTGTTTTAGGCATATGTTTCAATTGTTTCATCTGTATTTAGACGTATATTGCAAATGTTTCATCTGAATGTTTCAAAACAGATCGGGTGTTGCAGTAGGCGTCCGAGTGGGGAAGTAGAGGGCGACTGAGCGGTCTCCGTGTGGGGTCAGGTTGCATGAGCGACGTTCGGATGGCGCGGGCCCCTACATGGGCGTGTGAAACGAAGTGCAAGCACGGGCGTTCAGACGCACGCATCCGTTCGGACGTCGTTCTAAAATTACGAAGTAACTACTCGGAAACAAACTCATCTCTCTTAAATGTACAAGACCCATCCCCCTCCTATCGAAGATTCCAACCTCTCCTATCCACTTATGAAGAGTATTTAATAATCTTTTGGATTGGAATCGAAAGAAGAAAAAGCCACCCTACCCATAATACATGATCTTCCAACCATCATTTTTATAAATTATATGTAAATGTAATGCATAGAAATTACATCAATATACTTGTATTCAAAGCAATTTTATAAGAATATAAGGAGTCTTTAGGAACTGGTTGACATTATATTTTAATACAAATTAATGATTAATGTTTGTAAATGTTGACTTTGCCCCTCAATTAAATACAGCCGTATAGTGTTGCTTTGACAACTTAAACAACACACACGAGAAGGTATGATGGCTGCTCCATGCGAGCTTATTCCATCCATGGAAGCAACCGGAGCAATGTTGAATGGTGGCCAGAATCCTCCCTACTAATGCACCATCATAAACATTGCTAAGTCTACATCGTATAGCCTCCCCCGCTGAGATGACCCTCCTCCGCTCACCCCCAAAAAGAATCGCGTGTATGGTCCTCAGCCCGCCTCCGTTTGCCTCGCGCAAGGAAACCATCCGCGCGACGTCAGCGCGACAATCGCGTACGTGAATCGCGGTCCTTGTGTGCCTACGCGAGGTCCGCCTCCGCCGCCCTCTCCAGCCCAGCTGTCGTGCAGCCGCGCGTCCAGCCGCTCCGCGCCGCCTCCCGCTGCCCTCTCCGCCCCAGCCGCCGTGCAGCCGCGCTCCGCGCCGCCTCCTGCTGCAGCGATCGCGCTCCGCCCGCAGGAAACACGGGAGGAGGCGACAAGGACTGGCGGATGTTCTTCTGCTCTGCCGTACGGTGCTTCTGCTCTGCCGTGGCCCATGGGTGCTACTCCCTGACACGCAATTCAGAATCCAACGTCATCACCGTCGCGTCGCGCGTGGATCATCGGCCCTCGCCGCTATCAGGTACGCTGGCCAGTAGACGTCGACCGCACGTGCGTGGCATTGCCGCTGATTCAATAAAAGTTCAGGTTTAGACTGCATTTCCTAACGTGCTGTAATTTTTCCACAGTAGACGTGTCCTCATCAATTTTCGTTCAATCCCTGCTGCTGATTGACTTTGTT